AGGGAGAGGAGGCCGATTCTGGTGATGAATCAGCGAATGCGTAAGTTACTGCGATGTGCAATTTGCTTATTAGTGATGGATTTGGTGCTGTGGCTGGTTGTTGAAATTGAACTACTTGAATATCCATTTATCATTTTATTTAATTGTCTTTTTTGGCGGAATGATTACTTTAAGGGAATTTATTAAAGAACTGTAATTTAATCTATAAGGGTCACAATCACGAGCTCTTAAGTTAGCAAATGAACTCACACTAATAGACTGTTTCCTTTTAGTTCCAGCGATGAATTATGCAAGAGACGGAAATTCCGTCAGCTGGCAAAAATGATCCTAACCCTTGGCAATGTCGTCGGTCCTCGACGTTTAGCGGCTCCACTCAGTAAAGCTTCAATTTCTCGCCCTTTCCTTTACTTCCAAGAGGTTCTCGATTGACTGGTGTTTTTGACGTAGGTGCTGATGATCGCTCCCTTCGTGGAGCTCTTCCTTCAACCGCCAGCCTTGCCTCCTTGGACGACGTCAGCACTGCTTCTCCGCCATTGACACCACATACACCCTCAGGGTTTGAAGTATCAGCAGTAGGTGGTGCGACAACAGGTTTCCAGCGGTGGTGCAACTGTGTGCGCTCGGCTACTACCACCGCTCAACTGCACCTTCTATTGCGCGCACTTGAACGCTCTGTGCGGAAGGCCAATCGGGGAGGGCGCGGGGTACCTGCAGCTATTGGTAGCTATGCTACACGTTTCCGTCTTCCAGAAGTTCGGTGCACTGCGTGTCGGTGAGTTTTAGGTCTGTAGCTACCGATCTTTTTGTATCTCCGAAGTGCTAATCGCTTCTGTCAACATTATAGAGGTCCTCCAGACGAGGCTTCTGTAAGTGGTGGATCGGGTACCGTGGTTACTGCCTTTTGTCTCTGTGGCGGCTGCGCCTGTCCCTTCCATCAGGACTGTCTTCTGAATAGCCTCTCCCGCCAGAGTTCTCGCTCTCTCACCAGTATCCGCACGAATGCTTATCGCGGTGCTCGCACTCCTGACGCGGCACCGATCACAGCCCTCTCCTGTCTCTATTCCTTAATGCCGTGCCACATAAATACAACCGCAGCGGCACGACAGGACTGCTTGAAGAGCGCTCTTCTCCTCTGCCAACGTTGTAGGCGTTTAGCTGGTGGCTGTGAAGAAGACGTGGGGATGGGTGAAAAGGAACACTTTGCTGAGCCTCTTCCGGACGAGCTGTTAGAGGCGGTCGAATTGCAAGAGGTGATCGATGGAGGTGGAGGTGGTCAGGGTGTTGACGAAGAAAATGATGACGAGGAAGAAGGAGAAGTAGTGGAAGGGATTCAGGATCGTGAAGGTGAGGCGGGAGAAGTCGATAAAGAAACATCAGTGAGGACTCGAAGTGTGAGTAAAAGGAAAAGCAATGTTGTACTACTGATAAATAAATAATCTGTTATCTACTTTTAATTTCCAGATAACACCAACTGCCACGCGAGGTCGGTCTTCGCTAAATGGTTTGCCAATGGCGAGACGTGGTCATGGCCGACGTTCGAGGGGATCATTTTCCTTAAGGTATGCACTTGGAGCCGGCCACCGAGGGAGGTCAGCTAAACGTCCGCGATATTTAGAGGACTATGAAGGAGATGAAATGGAGGAGGGTGGTGATCAGTTCTATTGCATGACAATGGGAACAAAGGCAACCAAAACAGAGGACGTCTATGCTGACGCAGACGTGCTCTATGAGGATGAGGTGGAGGCCTACGGTGATTTAAAACCAAGGAACAAGGCAAGACGAGGAGGCTTGAGTAACAAGGGTACGTTGACTGATAATAACGGTTATATTCTGATGGTGAATGTGCTTTTCAGTAGTTTAGCAAAGATTTTAGGATTGGAAGGAAGGTGAGAGAAACCTACTTCTGGATAACTTGAGCAGGTCAGCACATTGTTAATACCTCGTCAATGTCAAAGTAGATGCAGATGGTATTAACTAGAGTGAGATGGTAAGATGAAATAGTAGAGTTCTTCGTCACTCGTCAATCTCCTTTTTTAGGACTATTTAGCCCTATTTTCCATTCTTGTAAACCTGATAAATTAGTAGTTCATAATCGACGATGTGTCTGAGGCATAGCCGCATCTATATGCGGGAGAACCATGCCTTGTTGATGGGCTTTAATCAAAGAACCAATCAGGTTGTCACGCGTGTGGGTCATTAAGCTGTAGCAGTCTGATTGGTTGTTTTGGATGGGGCGCGGCTGATCCTCATCTTCCTTGAGTTATAACTGTCAGCAAATCCTGTCCAGGTGCCAATCCCAGCATTTCGATACCTCACCTTTCGTCCCTCAGCCCTTGCAATAGAATGGGCGTTGGAAGAAGAAGCCCTTTTGTGTTCAGTGACTTACTTTCTATGAGAATTGATTAATTTACGTGACATTCACACTTTTTTGAGTCCGATTTACCCTTAATCTCCAGCCTTATGCGCTTCCAGTTTGTGTTATATTCGTTCCTCCTTTTATTAATGTCTTCAGGCCCACCATAATTCACCATTGTGTCTGGATTATTTATGATTATCTGGTGATCTTACCACTTGTCCCGCTC